GGTGGAGAAGGAGAAGTAGGAGAAGAAGAAGGAGGAGGAGGAGGGCCGAACAGTTACAGTGTGTAACATTAAAATTTTTAAACGATTTTTGCTACCATGATAAAATGGTGTCTTGATTTAATCTGGATGTTTTAATTCCTAATTAGGTTGACCATTTTTGTTTCCTGGCAATTTTCTCTGCTCATGTCCTCTGACAATTGTCCTAATGTACCTCATTAATATTAGTAGTTTGCCATATATAGTTAAATTTATTCTAAGATCATTTGACTTTCTATGGATTTTGCTATTACCTTCTACACATCAAGATTTATGATATACACAATTAACATAAAATCATGGGCACTTAGATCTGTTAGGGTTTACCTAATTTCTTTTAATAGTTGAGAAACCTAAGGTCCTAGGTCTTAGAAATTATAGTTAGTTAATAAAAATGAACCTACATTTTATGACTCTCAGTTCAGACTCTATAGAAGGTGATATAAATCTAAATGGTATTTCCCTTGATGAGCTATGGGTGACAAGACTGGAATGGGAAAAATGCTAATATGAAGGAACTATGTGAACTAAAGTGAAAAAATGCTCTTCTTACTATTGTGTCAAAGCCCACAGCAGCAGAGAATAGTGGGTAAGCACTTCTACATTTTGAAAACAGGCATCAGACATTTCCACAGGACTTTCTAAGAGGTATCCAAAGTTGGATCTGCAACCTAGGTACTACCTGTGGTCAACTACATAGAAAGGGCTTATATATATTTATTTATGCAACACGTTACCTACTGAATACCTAGAACAGATGAGTCACAGCCTCATAGACACAAACTTACATGTTAATGGTAGAACACAGACCAAAGCCAAATTGAAAAGTGACTGATGGGGTAGATAAAATGAATGAGAATAAAGAAGAAAAGCTGATATGAAGCTGTATACCTGTGTGAGTATTAAATAGCATGGCCAGGAAAGGCTTTGCTGAGAAGCACTCTGAAGCATACATGAAAGAGGGAAGCTAACAAATGTGTCCATACACACAGAAAAGTGCTCTGGGCAGAAAGCACGAAGCTTCTGAAAAAGTGTGTATGACATGTCTGAACAAGAGAGGGAGGCTGAGGCTTCTGATCACTGCAGATACAGAGATGGAGCCACAGGACTTGTTAATGAAGGCAAAGTATGAAAAAGAGCTCTAAAGGTAACTGAACCACCACCTCAGAAAAGATTGTCTCCACTGACTGGGATTAGAAGACTATGGATGGTAAATACCCAGAGATCTTAGGTTTATCTACCAAGCACCCAAAAGGAAGTAACTGTGCATGCAGTCAGTGTCTAGGCTAGATACACAAATGTCAAGGACTATCCAGCGTATAGGCAGTAAGTAAGGCCATGAACCTCAGTCCTTGCTAAACAAGTGAAAGAGAGAGGGGAAGCACAGAACAGTATGGTATTCTAATAATTTTTAAAGTCCAAAGAAGGTGATAAGTGACCAGAACTCATCAGTTATTCACATATTAAGAGCCCCACCAACTTCTTATAAATTATTCCCATTTTATAGCTGAGGTAAGTGCAATACAGATAGATTTAACAAGTGCCTGAAGATTTCATAGCTAAAAAGTACAGAATCAGGGTCTACACCCAGGTGATCTAGGCTCAGAGCCTTTTGCTGCATTTTCTTC